TATATAATTTTATGTAATATACTTAGAATCTTAATAAAGTACTGGCGAAACTGCCTAAGTTTAAAAAAAAAAAAAAATTTCCGAAATCCTATCAATGGGAAAAAAAATCACCAAAGGATTGTATCTAGAAGAGATATATAAGATTAATGGGTTCTTCAGAAATTTAATGTTCACTACCAGATATGAACGGGATAAAAAAAGATATAAAATTTTTGATATTTCTAAAGAATCAGCTAATCAACTCTCCTTCACAAACAATGATAAAAAAAGAATTTCCATTACAGATTATTTTAAGACACAACATAGTACACAACTCCAATATCCTTATCTACCATGCGTCAATCGAGGAAATGCCAGAAATCCAATATATATACCACTTGAACTTTGTAGTATAATACCTGTAAGTTGATATCTGATTAAATAAATTATATATAAAAAAAAATTAATTCATTTATTTCAAATAGGGACAGCATTTCATAAAGGACCTTAACCCCACTCTAACCACCCAAATGATTCAAGTAACCTGTATTCAACCTAATATCAAACTAAACAAAGTGGGATGTTTATTAGGAGAGTTCATAGATAAGAATTTCTTAATAAATTAGATATTAAAATTGCTGATAAATCTTTAGAAATCAATTCACGTGTTCTAGATCTGCCTAAATTAACATATGGAGATTCACAAGCACCTAATACCATTTATAACGGTTCTTGGAATCTTCAAGAGTTAAAACTACTTTATTGTCCTCCTATTAAAAATTGGTGTATAATCACATTTTCTCAGTGCAGCAATGAAGAAAAAAAAATATATAAAATGAAAATAGAGGAAAAGATTAGGGTACTTATAGAAACTGGTACTAAAATAGGGATTGGTATATCAGCGAACCCCCAATCCTTTTTTTAAATCAAAATGAGAGTTTTGTTAATATAACAAGTCAATTAAGGAAAGAATTTCTACAAGTAAGGCCAGAATTATTAGTTTGTATCTTATCTACAAATGCAAAGGGTTTATATAACAAGTTCAAGTACTACACTGATATTATTCTGGGTATCCCTTCCCAATGTATAGTATCTAAAAATTTCTTTAAAGCGAATAATGTTACATTTAATAATCTATTTCTTAAAATTAATATAAAAAATGGAGGGAGAAGTCATCATCTTTCAAAAACTTCTACTCCATTCATTTATGATTCACCAACAATTATCATGGGTGCTGATATTACACATCAAGTCCAGGTAACACAAAGGGGTTTCTATCGCCTCTCTTTGTGCTTCAAAGAATCTAAATGGTATCGAATATAATCAATATCCCTGTGTTCAAGGAGGACGTATAGAAATTATTCAGGATATAAAAACTTTGGTTACACTAGCATTAAAGGATTTTAAAAATAACACTAATCAGAAACTACAACAGATTATATTCTATAGAGATGGTGTCTCTGAAGGCCAATTTGAACAAGTGTTTGATAATGAAGTAAAAGCAATAAAAGACGCGTGTAGTGATCTGTCAGATTTCTATAAACCAAAATTAACAGTAGTTATCGTACAGAAACGACATCATATACGTTTTGCTCTCATAGATCCTAAACATGATGATAATAAGACTGTAACTGTTTATCTGGAACAGTTGTGGATTCTGATATTACCCATCCAGATAAGAATGATTTTTTCTTAATAAGTCAAGGTGGTCTGCAAAGAACCTCGCACCCCACACATTATCATGTGATTCATGATGAAAATAATTTTACTCCGGATGGAATTCAATCTCCAACATATTATCTTTGTTGTATATATGTACGCTGCATGCGTTTTGTAAGTATACCAGCACCCGTCTATTACTCTCACATTTCTTGTGATAGAGCACGTGGTTATTATAACTATAATATTTGTTATGATAAGAAGCATCAACTTGTTCATAATAATCATATCGTAATAAATAAACACTTAAAAGATAAAATGATCTTTGTATAAGCTTGATTTATTTATAACAAAAAAATGTAACATCAATATTATTAATGTTTCATATTATAAAGACCATCTCAATATAAATAATGGCAACCATATTTTTTGACTAATAAAAATAAATTTACAGACCAAATAAAAAAATGCATAAACCTGAAAGTGAATATATAAATTGAACCTTTAAAATAGATGAGGTTTTGACAGATAATAACATTCTCACCAAATTACACAAATACAATGTCGTTGATTGTAAAATGACAATCGAATCATTTGAGAAATTCCTCAAGTCAATTAATATCAAACCCTTC